CCACCGCGGCGGCGCCCACGACGCGCCCGAGAACACGCTGGCGGCCATCCGACAGGTCAGCACGGCGGGGCCCCACGGTGGCCGTGCCCGCCGCCCCTCCCCGAGCCCCTCCTGCCCCGGCCCGGCGAGCCGACCGTGCCGCGGCGGGCGCTGGGAGCGCGTTTAGCGTGCCCGGCCGCCGAGCGACGTACGGGGCCTGGGAGAGGTTAGGAGTGCGAGGCAGAGCTGCCAAACGCTCTGCAGAGACAGAGGGCGCCTCGGGGAGCCTGCCTCCCCGTAGGTCTGGTGTCTGAGGGACTGATATCGGTGGGCGGTGATACGAGCCTGCGGGTTACGTGTGATAATCTGCCTTTTCGGCAGGCACCGAGCCCTCGTCACCCTGAATAGCTCCAGCTTCTTACGACTTGCTGCACGAAGCTGTGTGGCTTGTCAGTCCTTCACCCACAAGCGGATTCAGAACAGTTTGATCAGATCTGAGTCTTGTGGGTGCTGTGTTATATCCTTGGTGCTGCTGTATATTTTAGCAGTGCAGCAATAATGAAAGACTGTATTTTGCTGATGTTGTAATGGAATATTATAGAGAGTGGACAGCAACCTAGTAACAGGTTGTTTGCTTTTTAAGCCTTGAAGATCTGTAATGAGAATCCACAGTTATGGGAAAATCTGGTATTGTGAGAGCTTCACTGTGTACAGCCCTGCCATGAAACTTACTGCTGCCTCATCTGCGAGGCATCATGGTGCAGTCAGGGTTCAAAAGCTGAGAATCGTTTGAAATCGTGATTAGCAGTCTCTCAAATGTAGGGTATTTGTGATGATGAGATGTTGCTGTTCTGGTGGTTTCTTACCTTTAGGTGAGGCAGGGCTCTTTGTTCTGATAAATTCTGAAGCTGCACAATAGAGTTCGTTACTTGGCAGATACCCCTAGAGTAACCTCTAGTGCATACCTGACATTTGTCTTTCTGGTGCATTGGCCCTTTTCCCAGAAGGGCGTTTGGCCTTCAGAACAATTCGTCTTGCTTGCAGTTCACTCAGGTGCTTTTCTGAGGAGTTCCTGGGAAAGAGCCAGGGCAGGAGCAGGATGTATGAAATGTTCTGAGGCAGCCCAGCTGCTTATTGCTCTCTGATACAGGGATTCCTTAGATAGGAGCAGGGATTTGCCTACATACATCTACTATGTAGTACAAGCGTGGTAAGTGGTGCTTCTGGGAAGTTTGGTATCTACTGCATATGGTGGATCAACTGTACTGCACGTGAATGGCAAATCTGACTCTTAAAGGAAATACTGCACCTGTGTGCCATAAAAAAAAGGGATGATAGCTTTTCCATGTGCAAGCAAAGACTTTATGCTCTGATGGCCTGCTCTGATTCTGGCTTGTAAGTGTTAATCTATAAATTATCTAAACTGTAGGCATTTGCTTCCCTTCTCTTTTAGAAAGTAACATAACTCAAGGTCTCGGGAGTTATTAGGACAGGAGGATATAGCAAGATTCTTTTCTGCATTTTTATCCTGAAACAGCCCCAATCCCAAGACTGAGACATTATCACTATGTTTTTTTCTGTAAAATAGATTATATGCTTTCAGTTGACTATGAATGCTTCTCACAATAACTTGGATAAAACCTACTTTGTTCTGCAGACCAAGCTTACTGAAAGGAACATTAATAGTTTATGATTTTTTTACCAGAATACAAACTAATTATAGCTGTGCCTATATTAAATATATAAAGCTCTCTCTTCTGTTGTGTATGTGATTTTTTTTTTTTTTATTTTTTTTTTTTAAGGCAGCTGAGAATGGAGCAACGGGTGTTGAGCTGGATCTTGAATTTACTGCAGATGGTGTTCCCATTCTAATGCATGATGAAACAGTAGAAAGAACAACTGATGGGTCTGGAAGATTGTGTGACTTGACTTTTGATGAAATTAGGAGGCTTAATCCATCTGCAAAACATAGGCTATGGTAAATGAACTATTGCTATTCTGAAACTACTGTTTCAACAGTGAAAAAAACATTCTTGATAAACAGAATTATTTATTTGATCTATTACTGATGAAGACTTTTGTAAATTTAAAACTTAGTCCCAGATGTTAATCCTCATTTGATTTTAGAAGTGTATGAGATTATATCTCCTTACCCATCTTTGCAATAGGAACAGTGAAGCACAGTCAAGATAATTGGCTTTCAAGGACAAAATCCACAGGCACCTAATGTGAAACAGGTTAATCTCTACATAAGCCTCCCCTATATTGACTGCAGGACCCTAAAGATACTGGGCGTTTCGCTATATGTCAAAATTGGCTTGAGTAATTACTTCTAAAACTAATTTTATTCACATACAATTCTTGACTGATTGTGTCTTGCGGATTCTAAACATCAGGATTATACTGTTGAAAAGGAGCTAGACAGATTTCCTGGGTAGTCTGAGGTAGGAGCTGTGACCCCAGTGGCTGATTAGGTCCTTTCCAGTGGTATGCAGGGGAAGATATTTTTATACATTACTAAAATTTTGATGACAGTGCAACTTTTAGAGTATCGTAAGTGAATCCATTTTAGAGGAAGAACTTCTTGTGTGTGCTCCTGAGACACTGCATTAGGGATTTCGAGACTCTTGTAAATGTACCACCTGTGAGTCTGTGGTACAAGTAGCACCTTCCCCATCTATTACTGGAAAGGTGATCACCTGAACCACACAGTGAGAACTTCCACATAGGCAGTTACCACTGATGAGCTGTTGTTCACTCTCACCTCATCAGCAATAATTTACTGGTGTGTGAAGCTGCTTCTCCTACATCCTCAGCTTGTCTTGCTTATTCTGCCAGGATCTGCATTTCTGGCTCAGGGCTAGGGAGCGCAGTCAAAGCAGGGTGAAGTGGGTGGATTGCTGGTCAGCAGTTGGGACTGAAGGCTTATTTGTGGTAGTTGAGGAAGGAGGTGAAGAACTGAGGTTAGTGTTTCAGTGTGGGACACGGGGTCAGTGAGCATCGGATTAGACCTTGAATTTGGAAGGATATAATTGTCTAGTGGGATTCTGAAGGAAGAGGAGATGTGCACCTATCCGTCTACATGTGCAGCCTTTTACTGGGTGAGAGAGCTACTGCTGCCATTGCTAGTGGTGCCTGATCCCACCCCTAATACTAGTGTATCAGCAAACTATGTTTAGGAATCCCTAGGAAACAGCTCTTTGTAGTTGGGGATGTGTGTGCCCATGTGTGCACGTGTGTATCTTGACTGCATTCCAGTAAGGAGTTCTCCATTTCTACAGGAACAAATTCCAAGGTGAAAAGGTACCAACACTGAGAGAAGCTGTTGTGGAGTCTATGCATCGCAATCTTATAATCTACTTCGATGTCAAAGGCCATGCAAATCAGGTACTGCTTACTGTATTAAGACATCTTCCTTCACCCTTTCTTTGGGTTTCTAACCTGTTTTTTTGTTGATCTCAAACTGACACATGTGGTACAGTTCCTTCTCTAACATGAGTGAGACTGGGTCTGCTATTTGTGTCATCCAAAGCTGGGCTGTCAAAGCAAAGACAACATTTTCCCTCGTCCCATTCTGTTGTCCTGGGAAGCTGCAGCTTAAAATTAGCATGAGCCTTGTGTGTGTGTTGAGTTCAGCTCACAGCACCATCATGAAACAAAGCAAAGTGAATTCCCTGCCTGTGCTGAGGGGAGCTAGTATCTCATCTTCAGCCTCCAACTAAGGATCCTGCTTGTCTATAATTTGCATTATGAAGGGAGAGACAGGTGATCAATCATTAACATTTTATGCAAATTAGAATGTTTTTTTTCTTTAGCATAGCAAAATATGGAAATAAATTCATTTTTCCCCTTGAACTAAATCCTAGGTAGCACTTCAGAATTTTATCCACAATATGTTTAAGGGTATTTCAGATACTGAGAATGCTACTCATTGCTGTAAACAGAATCATGAAAAGGACTTTTGTGGCAAAACCCAAAATGTCATTTCTGTGTTAATGGTATAAACTGTTTTTCTTTTCCCTCCTTTCCATTTCAATCTTGTTACGCAAAACAGGAAAGTATTTTAAAAGGGGATTATTCTAAAATGACTTTGCAGTGTAAAGTAAATATAAGTGTATATATTTATATAACATCTGTGTGTATCTCTAATTGGCAGGCAGTTGACGCCCTAAAACAACTCTACCTGGAATTTCCGCATTTGTATAACAACAGCGTAGTCTGTTCTTTCATGCCAGATGTTGTTTATAAGGTGATGTTTCCTAAAAGTTTATTTCGGATTTTTTTACTTCTGTCTGGGAATTTCAGTAAGATATACAAGTCCCAGTTCCAGATGACTTTGGGTTGTTAAAATTGCCAAGACTTTTAAACAAATGAAGCATAAATTGTAAGTCTCCTGCATAATCTCATCAGATCACTCTGTGCTTATTAGATGCAATATGAATCTACAGCAATTCCCTCCATTCTGAAAGCTATGTAGAAAAAAGTACATCACTCTTACAGTTGACATATGGCCAGGTATCTGTGCGCAAGGTGCCTGTTAAATAAACCTCATATTTTGATGTAAATGTAGACTATTCTTAAAACTGTTTCCTAATTCTCATTGCCAAATCCATTTACTATGTATTTTATTCTGTTGCCTGTTACGTAATTTTTTTAACATAAGAGCAGTTGTTTATTCAGTATGTTTGAAAGAAGAATCAGTAAAATTTCATGAACAGCTTTCTAGAAGAGTTACAAAAGAATCTGGAGGGAAAGGGGAGAAGGCTTCTGGTAGAGCTGCAAATGCAAGCTAGCACTTTGTATCTAACCTCTCCCAATTTATATTTAACGCAGCTTGGCTTTTGTATGAATTACAGTCTTTCCTCCTTGATCTTCCAGATGAGACAAGCTGACAGAAATGTTGTAACAGCACTAACACACAGGCCTTGGCATCTGAGTCATTTTGGAGATGGGACACCCCGTTTCAGTTCCTCCTGGAAACATTATTTGTATATGATGATGGATGTCATTCTAGATTGGAGCCTACACAGTTTCTTGTGGCGATTATGTGGGGTTTCAGCTTTCCTCATACAGAAAAATTTTGTTTCTCAGTAAGTGTTAAAGCTAGCTGATACACCAGGAGGCAGTAGCATTCTATTAGTATATAAGGGTGGAGTTAACATAGCAGATGTTAATCAATATGTTCCATTTAGTGTTGTTTAAGGTTGTTTAGTTTCTTTACTGCATGCTGTTTTATTATTTCAAGACTCTATCTTCTCAATCTGTGTTTTTATCTTATGTTAGATCCTAACTTTAATCTCAAAGGGGAAGAAAACTGTTGCTTTTGCCTGTTTACAATAATAAAACGCAAAAAGATGATGTTGGAAAAGATGACACACTATTGTTCTTGTTGTGAAACTGATGTAAGACTAAAACTCAGTTGTAGCCTCAGCACTGTCTGCCTTAAATATGGTAGCATCAGCCTTCCTCTTATAGTGTCTTTGTTCATTGCAGAGAGTATGTGAGGCAGTGGTCTTCAAAAGGAATTCAAGTGGTTGCCTGGACAGTGAACACGTTTGCAGAAAAAAGCTACTACGAAAGCGTCCTTGAATCCAGCTACATCACCGACAGCTTGGTGGAAGACTGTGATCCTCATTACTAGACCTGTGCTTTGTAGACACTCACCATCCTGAATAAGCTATCTTACTCGGACAGGTCTGAATTCACCATCGAGGGGGTATCCACTAGTGCAGACGGGACCACTGACGATAGTTTGGGAAAAGAAGGAGCAGTAGTTTATTTCTGCTGTATGGTCAGATTTGGAATGCAGAAAACCCTTCTGTTGCAACACCAGACAAAGCTGAGGTGCAGCCATTTGCAGTCTGAGGACACGGCACTGTAACGTAGAAAGATCAGATTTGACAAGCTAACTGGGCAGTACACTGTGTGTGCAGGTTGCTTTATAATTCTCAGACTATTGCTTTGTTTTGTTTAAATCTTGGTTATAAAGTCATATCAGCAATTTTTGGTGGCAAAATTTAAATTCATACCTTGATTTTAGTAACGTAAAGAGTCTGCTCCACAACTGTATAATAATTTGAGGTTGATTTATGGCATCTTAAAAATGTCTACATTGGTGTTCTCAAAAAAGAACCTGAAAATAATGGTGCCAAAATAGAGGGTGAGTATATTTCCCTCCTACTGCATGGAAAGATGGCTGTGCTGCATCTTGACAAGGAAAAGAAAGCCAACTTTCCATGTTCAATGTGAAGACTATGAGAATTAACGAATAAAACTTGAGCATCTTCCTATCTTCCAGACTTTTTAAAAGAACAAAGGGAAGATAGAAGATTACATCTTCTAATGATACAGCACATGAATGTATTTTTAAAAGAAAGCCATATATTAAGTGCTGGTAGTAGTAGAACAAGTAGAGCTGGAATGTCTTTTTATTTTGCTTATTGTTTGCGTGATTGAAGGGCACTCACAAGGATATGTGGGAAACTGTAATCCAGATTTAACTTGAAATCAAAAGTGTCTGTGGTTACAATAAACAAGTATCTGATAGCTGACAGGTATGGTATTCTTTATCAGCTGTGCACCAGTAGACTGATGTAAAATGTCAAAATTAGTGCAGGTTCCTCACTGTTTTTTCTAACAAGTAAGACCCCCAGCTGTTCTCATCACAGCTACCATCAACATGCCGTGAACAATTTTGGCTCTGCTTTGGAAGAAGCTGGTAGTTAGAGATGATGGTCAATGATTAGCAAGAGCAGAAAACTCCTGTGGAGTCCGCCCGAACATAAATTAGACCACCTTTTCTTAATGGCCAATACATGGAATTACTAAGTTTAATAATTTAATTTCAGAAGAATGTGATACTACTTTCCACAGAAATGAGGAATTTGAACATTTAACTGACTGGTTACCTGCTGCAGGTCATTCAGACCTAATCTCACAAGATACCTTGGACTGCATGTGTAGCGATTTGTATGTTTGACTAGAAAGCGTAACCGTGTTTTAGTAAGGTAGTTCCTTGTGCTACTTCAGTGCTGTTGAACTCCTTGTTTCCAGGTTGCTGTGTTTTGTGCAGCACTGTACCCTGGGTGATCGCTTTCGGATGTGCTAGGGGAAAGCTGCGCTCACCAGAAACGGAAGAGCACATTGCATGGATTGGTGGTGCAGTGTGGTGCATTGCTTTGGATATAAATGTTCTTGATAGTGTGCCTGACAGCCAGTTAGTGCTCATGCACAGAGCCAACTGAGATTTTTAAAAAAACCTTCCATAAAAGAGGCAAAAGGTAATAACAAAAATTAAAATTAGTCATTGGTGGAAAGAACTACACAATTGTCCCAATTAAGGTAAGTCCAAACTTCTGAATTAGCAGCAGACTAACACTACCTTCTGCACAGGGTGATGTTTTTTTTTTTTTTTTTTTTTTTTGCTTGTGTCTTGCGCTATATGTAAGCACAAAGAAACACAGGAGTAAAGAGGTGGTTTTTCCTGTCAGGATGACGAGAGCCCCTTCAGTTCATGTCACTCATCCACCTGGCACTGCAGAACCAACAATCTCAGTCTTGTGCACATCCTATAGCATGTGTACGTTACGCCCTCAACCAGTTTCTGTCCAGCCATTTCATGAGTGCCGTAGCCTCTACCTTTCCTGCTGTGCTCTACAGGTGCTCCCGAGCGGCCATCGGACCATCGGAAGAGCAAGTGACCCTTCACGGCAAGTGGCCCTTGCTCCAACGGTCCATTTTTTGTTGCTGCTTGAGTTGCTGGCACTGTGGAGTCACTGCCCCCAGTGCAAACGCTAGGCCCATTTTCACTGTTCACAGCCAGACTCCACAGCTATATGTGCAGAAAAACATAGTAAAACTGAATCTCTGGTCTTGCACTGTGTGTAAAGTTTGTCCTTTTTTCTGTACCTTTGGTGGCTGTTTTGGGGTTGTCCTTTTAACCTAAATTATGAGCATGAGGAAAAGATGTGCCTCCTTCCTAAGGGATTTTTATGGCCAAAGGAACGAGGGAGGGATAAACCAGGCAGTAGTGGAAAATGGGCTAAAAAAAAAAATTATCATCGTGGCAAAGTTGTGGCTCTGGACAAAAAGAAGCTGCATGAAGTGTCTCAAAGGCATATACAATAAATAAATAAAAAAACTCAATTGTGTTACTTCCAATCTATCCTTTACTGGAAGTGAGATGTGTAAACTTCTTGGTTACAAGTAGTGATTTTATACAGATGAGAATTTTGGTAAGTAGTTACTCTTAAAAAGAGTTCTGATAACTTTTAATACCAAAGCTGCTTTTGAGTGACTAATAAACTGTAAAAATGGCTCAGAAAAGTGAAAATGGAATAGAAGCTTAACCTGGTTCACACAAGTTATTTTGCAGCCATTACAATGTCTCAGTCATTAAAAACAACTGCACTTTAATTTCCATCTATTTTTATTTAACTAATACTTCACTTTTGGTTTAGATCAGATGAAAGCAGTTTGTACAATATAACTGATATAAAAATATTTTAGGCCGAAGCTTTTATTTACAATTAGGCACAACTTTCCTTCTATTTAGTCACCAAGTGACCAGCTGTGGAGGGACCCTTACTGTACCGAGGTAAGGGCCAGTCCTGGGGGAAGGCTGGCTGTCCCCAGAGTGTTACTGCTTCAAAACCAAACCAAACACACAGGATATTCCTTACCATTACAAACTGCAGTCAGGGTGCATTTTGCAATCTGTGCTTCTATTTTTTCTTCCATTTAAGGGTTAAAAAATGTTTGAATGGTTCTTTCAGTCCTTAGTGCAAAGGAGTATTGCTTTCTGTGGAACCTCAGTCAATGACTTAGCATTTATTATTGATTGTGCCTGCTCACGGTTGAAAATCTTCATCATCACCTTCATCTTCCCACTGAGCTGCTTCTCTAGCACGCAGAGCGAGTGCCATGGCCTCAGACATGCCGGGCCTGCTGCTGGGCTCGGCTTTCTCTGAATCTGTTTTTCACAAAGGAAGTAACGTTAACTGGGCTGGTGTCAGTATAACCACCACCACCCACCCCACCCCCATTAAAAAGCCCCATGCTATTTAAGTCTCATCTGTCAAGTGTTTGGAATAAAGTTACTTGTTTGTGTAAACCAGGAATAGTTTGGGCTACCACGCAAGTTTCCATAGCTTTTTTTATTCCAGACATATGATGTCCTAGGGACTCTACATCATTAATAACCTCTTCTGAGCTTCACACCAAGATGTCTAATGTGATGTAACACTTGCTTGTGGCTGCTCGCATAAGACAAAATGGCTCATTTATTTACCCACAGAAATTCAACTCTGGTATACAGAAGCTTGTCTTCTTGATCAGTCTTCAGCAGTCACCACCAACACTGCAACAAGCTACCAATAAGCACATCCTACAGAAAACGTTTACCCCAGAAAGCCAGTCTTTTTGTTTTCTCTTTACACAAGATGCTAAAATTCTGTGTCTCTTGCATCAAGCTGTTCTATGCTGTGTCTATACTGTATCAAACGTTTTTACTGAGCTGAGCTTCTAAGAGCTGCTTTCTGTGTTTAGCATTTGTTGCTCACCTGGTGGGAAGCCAGTCCCCCTCAAGATCCCAGCAGAAAAGGGATACTGAAAAAAAACATTCGCAAGTAGATTTAGGTCAGTGTTTCCCTCATGTGCCTGTTACCTTGTATTTTAAAAGATACCAGTTACCTGTAACAAAACCATACTCTCCAGATCTTAAGCAGGTCTGTGAGTATGAGTATTCCAACAGCTATTCTGATTACATTTTTGTACCTGTTCAGATCAATCTTTAAAATTATTTCTATACATACACCTTGTCCTCTTTGTTCAACATACACCTGTTGTCGATAGCATGCCCCCAGGTTCTATATAGGGAAATCTAGTGGAGACTTCGACCATCTCACCTCATTGTAGGATGCATTTTGATTTCTATCAAACGCCCTTCCTGGGTAGCCTGACGCTTGCTCGGCAGGTTGCCTGGACAGGTAGTATGAAGAGGAGCTTCTCTGAAAGACAGAATACTTGGCGTTAGCCATACTATATTCTGGCCTCCAACCATGACTTTATGGTCAGCACTACTCACACCCAAGGTTATTACCCTTGTTTTAAGGAGGTGGCTCTTCTGCTAGACCCACAATGAGATTATTCTGGCATCTTCTTTTGAAATCTCACTTTAACAACTACAAGAATATCCACATTTTGTAGGCTATCCAACCCTCCCCTCAGGAGTCCCACTCATGACCCTGGACATAGCCACAGGGTTGTCTAGTGTTTGAAAATGCCCAGCACACAGAAAATGCCCATTGACTTTAAGCTCCCCTCTCTGAAGTCAATATTTATTTGTATTTATTTATATTATCACATTAATGATGGCCAGTCATACAGGGGGATTTGGGGGGGGGGGCTAACAAACCCTTTTTCTTCACCAGCATGTAGGTCAAAGAGTTTTCACTCAACCCAAATAAAGACTGCACAGCAAAATACGTGCACATTTTAACACTAATTTGATGGCTCAGCAGGCAGGATTGACTTGAAAAATAAATTCAAGTTTAAGACGTTAGATGTCTACCTTGATGTTGTATGGGATTTAAAATGGGGTGAGGTCAAAGCACTTGGTTTTATCTCAGCTGAAAAGACTGGGGGGGTGCACAGATTATAAACCCCTGAGGAAATCCAGGGTCAGGGGAAGAAGGCAGCCTCCTCCTTAGTCTAGGCAAGGTTCAAGTGTAGCCGAACCCTTTACTGACCATCACTGCACTCCTAGATTAGGAATGTTTTCTTGTAGTTTCATAATCATAAATAATGCCTAGTGAGGGCAATGACTTTTCTATATCCTTCCTAGGCTAAATTCCAGTCTGGAACAAATAGTTAGGGAATTACCATGGTATCCTTTTGCTGTCTGGAGTTAACTAGTAATCAATCAACTTAGGTGAAGTTTTAAATACAGACATATCCCAAAACGGCAGCCTATTTGCAAGGCTAGAGGAACCCCATGAAATCGTACCAAGCATGTAACTGAAAGAGCAGTATCTGAACTATCAAACTGACCTGCTGGTCTTGTCCTCTTGGTGCAGATGGGTTTTGGTCTACTCTTTGCAGTCCCCGTAGTTTTTCAAGTAAAAATTTTTTATCTTTTCCTTCCTATAGTCGAGACACATTTGATCATTAGCTGGAATGGACTAATCATCCTTGAGAGGCTCAAGGCCTATGAGTAACCATTGACCAGAATAGTCATTAAAATTCCTTTTATTCTGTCTACAGAGGGAGCTGCAGCAGCACAGCTTGAAGGTGAAATTATTTTGCGACAACTCTATTTGTGAGTTAAGTTTCCCTGCAATTCACATGGGGGAGGGCTCCCACCCTCCCTTGAACCATCATAGGAAAAGCAGATTACAGCTCCACGATAGCAGGATGAGACAATCAACAAGAAAGCCAAATTAAAAAAAAAAAAAAAGCTGAAAGTCAAACTTACATTAGCAATTTGCTTTTTAAAGTGTTTGGTCGTGGTCTTTCTTCCTTCTATTATTTGCCAGTGAAGATAAGTAATAATTCTAAACAAAACCAAAACAAAACAAAAGTCCAACATATGAGCACTCATACCCATGAGAATTTCCTCCTAGTCATTGCCTAAAAAATGTTATCTTGTTTATTTTATCCATTAAAAGATATATATACATATATCTATACATGCATATATATGCATATACATATATATACACACAGAGATATATTTAAAAAAGTATGTATACAATTTAACAAGGAATGGCAAACACATGAAACAGCTTAAGACATTCTCTTGGAAAAGACCCAAAGATTTACAGACTTGTATTCAAGATGAGAGGTACAATTAAAGTAAGTCAGCAATACAAGGTGCATTTCAGATAACAAATAAGAACCTAATGCTCTTACCCAACTTTGTGTCATTTGCTTAGACACATGCCTGGACCTTAAATCACAATACTGAATACTTATTGCTTCCAGGCCATTCCTGGTCCCACTATAATGAGTGGGAACTTGTTTTATGAAAACAGGTTTGGACTCTTAAGTGAGTGCATAGCCCATGCTAGGAATATCAAGCAGTACAGCTAAAACATCAAACCCTACCAGTGGGCACATAGCTTAATATGCATAGTTTTGCCAAAATAATTTATTTCAGCCAAGAGGACAGTATGTGAATTTACCTGAGATTAGCTGGAAGCAGACTGCAACCTACTTATTAGCATTGCCCCATACGGTGTGCTCACTTTGACATGCCGCCTGTGCACCACCTTGCCCTTCCACCGCAGCGTCCCTAGGGTAGTTCAGTTATTCTTTACATGGTATCATCTCCTCTAATGACTCCACTGATGAGAAATGGTCAGAAAAGACAAAGCAACCATCTCCCAAACTTTTGGTTTTTATGTCACTCAAGGTCCTAGTATAGATCTGGCCTGTATTGCCTGTGCTTGTGAAAGCTTGCTCTTTCCCTACTGCTTTATTCACCTCGGGGGGTGAGGGTGGGGGGGTGGGGGCAATTTATCCTGCCAACTGTATGCAGCATGTTCCCTTTTGCTGATGTTCCTAAAGCTAAGTGTGCCAGTGGTAATAAGATCTGCAGCCTAGGCAGTACTAGACTAGAAATATCAAATCAAAAACTGTATCCTAGGGTTAGCATGAAGCTGGTTTGGAAAGAGCTTTGGCATCCTAACATAAAAGGATACTTCAAATACACACATTTCTAATATATTAGGCATTTCTGATGCTTTAAAATGCACTTTGTAAATTTTTTTTTAATTAAGAATGGCTATGGCATAGCCAGTTTTTTCCACTTCAGGTCCTTTTCCAGTGCTTTTCATTAGCAGGTACTTACAGGACAACAAC